TCCCTGGCCATCCACGTCGACGGTAAGCTCCTCTGCTGCCCTCCTTGATGCCCCAGTGCCTGCTGAGATTGAGGCCTTTGCCACTGCTGAGCTTGCCCGCTCTGTCTGGGAGTCACGCAACGCAGTTGCACAGCTTGCTATCAGTCACGCCCTCCCCCTATCCAATCGTCCCCGCTTTCAGGCTATAGAGACTGCACAGGGGTACCTAGATGTCGTCATTGCGCGTTATTCCACTCCCTCGTCTGCCTCTACCGGCCGTCTCCTTCTCCCCATGCTGTTCCCTGATATTGCGTCCTTCCCCGCTGTTGGTGATCTTGCTTCTCACCTGCGAGCACTCAAAACTAGCTACCGCGCTGTTAGCACTGAGGCCCAACTCACTATACTGCCTCTCCCCCTCGGCGCTACCCTCTACTTCCTTGCCACACGCCTTCCTAACCACCTCATCATTGCCCGCGACCACTTCCTTAGTCTCCACCTCGCTGACCTCACCCTTATTGACTTTGTCACCACCCTGTCCGCGATAAAGAACCGCCAGCGCACTATTGCTCATTCTAGCGGTGCTGCGGCAGTCCGTATCTTCCAGGGCAGTGCTCCCTCCTAGTGCACTTACTCTAACATTTCTGCCGCTGTTACTGAGACACCCCTACTGCTGAGACCACCACGACGGCGTCAGCGCAGTCTCTTCAGGGTAAGGGCCGCCTCCCCAGGGGGGGTGTGGCGGAGGGAGGGGTGGCAGGGGTGGCGGAGGTGGCGGCGGTGGTATGAGTGCTGGTGGTGTAGAGGGGACCGGGGCTGATGCCCCGGCGCACCAGCAGGAGCAGCAGCATCAGCAGCAGCAGCAGCCGTAAAGACCCCCGCCGCCATGGCGGCCTGGCAATTTTGGACTTGGTGGACGCGGTGGCAGCTCGCGTAGCTCGGCGTCGGGTGGTGCCTCTTGTGCGGTGACTTGCCAATACCAGCTTCAGACCAGCCCCCGTTGCGGCACTGTGTGTGACAGTCCCGGTCACACCACCACCCGCTGCTATCGCCGCCTTGACAACCACTTCCGTCTCCGGTTCGGGCCTGCGCCAGACCTCCCCGACTGGCACAACCTGGTGCGTCACCGTGTGGTGGTCTTTGAGATGGATATGGATCGGATTTGCTCTGCTTTGTATGTCATGTATGCTGATGAATCAAGTGTGACTGGACCTTATTACCCTGTGTTGCCTAGTATAGGTGTGTCTACTGTGTGTAGTCTACGCTCCCCTGCTGCGTCAAGCGTAGGACCTCCTGCCTTGTTTAGCCTTGGCTCCACCCTAGTACCTCCTCCGGCTAACGCTACTGCTGCTCTCTTTTTCACGCTGGACTCTAATGCGTCTGCCTGCTTCTTTCGCGACCACACTACACTCACGCCACTTGCTGCCACTGCAGCAGTCGACCTTGCTGACCCCTCCTCAGGTCTGGTAGTTGCACGTAGCTCCACCACCCTTCCGTGTCCGGCAGTTCCCTCGGGCTCCCTTACAGGCTTGCACATCCCCTCGTTCTCCAGGAACCTAGTTGGTGTCGGCTGTCTTTAGGACCTTGGCGTCACCACTACGTTCCGTGGACATGAGCGGTATGCAGTCTTTACCGAGGCCACCACTGGTGCCCCCCTTACCACGTACCCCGGGACCCAGTGTCTGGTCTGTTCACGCTGGACACCACGTCCCCCTCGGTGAGAGCGTCCTCTCAGGTGGTGGCGCCTACTCAGGTATCCGCGGCTTCCTCGAATTGGTCGCTCACTCACACGTTGCTTCTGTGACACCACCGCCTAGGTCATCCCGCACTCCCGCATCTGCGTCACTTGTCACAGCACGGTCTTGTCTTAGGTCTCCCTACGTTGCTCCCTGCCCTCCCTCCCTCATCCGCGCCTCTGTGCACGCCTTGCGTCAAGGGCAGGCTGCGCCGTGCTCCTCACTCCTCGTTTCCCCCCACCATTGCACCACTCGAGACCCTGCACCTCGATGTCTGGGGCCCAGCCCCCATCCTGGGCCGCGTCGCGAGCGCTAATTTCTGGTGCTCCTCGACGACTACACGCGCTACACCACGGTGTTTCCCTTGGAGTGGAAAGCCAACGTGCCTGACGTTCTTATCCCGTGTATTGTTGCTACGCATGTCCACCGCGCCCTGCCAGTGCTCCGTCTCCACTCCGACCGTGGCGGTTAGTTTGCCTCCGGTCGCTTTGGCCAGTTCTCTCATACGGAGGGCATCACCCAGTCGTACACCCTGCCGGACTCCCCGCAGCAGAATGGGGTCGCTGAGTGATGCATCAGTTTGGTCATGGAGGTGCTGCAGAATGGGGGTGCTAAATCTGGGGGTACTGTCGTGGCTCGTCCCGACGGTCCTGGGGGTGGCGCGGGTGCTGGAGAGGTTTCTAGTTTTGGAGGTGCTTGTCCTGGGGGTGCTATCGTGGAGAGTCTCGGGGGTAGCCATGGTACGGCAGGAGGCTCTCGTGTGGGCGCGGAGCAGCAGCAGCAGAAGTCACCGACGATGTCCGCCCTTCACCTCCTCAGTCTTCCCTCCCTTGACCGCCCACCCACGCCTCTCCCGTCGCCGCCTCCTCCGCCGATCTACGGTCCTGTGTTTCCTCCGCTGGACTCGCCCCCGGCTCGATTCCCCCCTCGTTCTCCCGCTGTATCTCCTCCTGTGTCTCCTGACCCGACGCCTCCCTCCCACTTCTGGTCTTGCCACCCTTCTTGTGCTCACCCAGTCTCTCCTGTTCAGCGTTCTCACCCAATGTTGCTCCGTTCTCATGCGCCTCGTGCTCCGCATGTCCCTGTTCTCCCGTCGCCTCCTTAGTCGTCGCTTGTTGTCTCTCCGCCTCCTTTCTTCGACTTCCTCCATGCTGCACGCCCTCTTGTTCCAAGTGTCCTCGCCTCTCTTGTTACCGATCCGTCCGTTCTTGTCTCTAGTCTTGACGCTCTTGTCGCTGTCGTTGCTGACTTTGCCTCTACCCGCTGCGATGACTACGCCACTGCTCTGGTCTCTGACCCTGCCCGTCCTCCGTCCATCGGGGGTGCACCTGCCCTTGGCATTGAAGTGAAGAGGACTGGCAATACGAGCTAGCTTTCCTGTCCGAGGCCGCTCCTTATCTCTACTCCATGCTGGTAGCCCTTGAGGGTGACCCAGACGCTCTTGACATCCCGACCCCTCGCACCTACGCTGAGGCGACCTTGGGACCCTGGGCCTCTCAATGGATAGCTACCATGGATGCGGAGATGGCATCTTGGAGATCCACTGGCACGTACATCGACGCAGCTCCCTCACCTGGAGTGAACGTAATCGATGGCCGGTGGCCCTTCAAGGTGAAGCGCCCTCCTAGAGAGCCGCCGGTGTTCAAGGCACGCTACGTTCCTAAAGGATTCAGTCAGCGCGAGGGTTTTGAGTTCTTCCAAACCTTCGCCCCGACCCCGAAGATGACCACTCTTCGTGCACTGCTTCACGTAGCAGCACAGCGCGACTACGAGCTGCACTCTCTCGACGTCTCTACAGCGTTTCCCTAGGGCAGTCTGCACGAGCAGGTCTACCTACACCGTCCGCCAGGCTTCTCTGGAAAATTCCCTCCTTGGACCGAGTGGCTCCTCCGGCGCCCGGTTTACGGTCGGCAGTAGGTGCCCCGTGAGTGGCACGACATGCTGCGTGCTACATTAGTAGACCTGCAGTTCTTCCTGTCCTTTGCGGACCCTTCACTCTTCGTTCGCTCAGGCCACACTCCATTCTACATCCTAGTCTACATAGACGACCTGGTCTTCGTTACTAAACACAGAGATGCACTGGCCTCCGTGAAGGTTGAGCTGCTGAGGAGACACACCTGCACTGACCTAAGAGAGCTGCGCCGCTACCTTGGCCTGCAGATCTTCAGGGACAGAGCAGCGCGCACCATCACTCTCACACAGTCCCACCTGGTGCGCTAGGTCCTTCAGAGGTTCGGTCTTCAGTTCTCCTCCGCACAGCCTTCTCCTCTGCTAGTAGATCACAGGCTCTCGGCTCTAGTCCCTGACGAGTCAATTGAGCCCAGTGGTCCGTACGTAGAGCTGGTGGGTTGCCTCATGTACCGGATGACTTGCAGTTGTCTAGATCTCGCATACCTTCTAAGTATCCTCACTCGTTTTGTGGCGACAGGCAGACACCGACCCCAGCAATGGTTGGCCGCTAAGAGGGTTTTGCGTTATCTAGCAAGTACATCGGGCATGGGGCTAGCGCTGGGAGGACACAAGCCAGTAGTTCTCACAGGGCACCCAGACACTTCGTGGGCGGAGGATGCTGAGACGCTCAGGTCCTCCCCGGGCTACTGCTTCAGCCTTGGTGCAGGCGCCATCTCGTGGAGGTCCACCGGTTCGTCATCTGTTGCCTAGTCGAGTTGCGAGGCCAAGTTCTACGCTGGTGCCATGGCGGCACAGGAGCTCCGATGGCTGAATTTCTTGCTCACTGACTTAGGTGAGCGGCCTAGCTCTGCCCCGATCTTGTACGCTGACAACATGGCCATGATCCTCGTGTGTAAGGAGCCTCTACTTGAGGGCAGAGCGAGGCACATTTAACTGCGGTACTTCCTCCTGCGCGAGCTATAGCAGCGCTGCCAGTCCCGCGTAGTACACTTGGCCTCAGGTGCCAACACAGCTATTATCTTTGCTAAGGAGGTTGCATCTAAAGATCATCAGAGGCACAGTGTACAGCTTGGTCTAGTTCCTGTAGCTCTTGACTTGCTAGGACCCTAATTGTGTACTACTCTTTATATTATCTTCTCTCGCTTTGTGGCTCTTTTTCTTGTGGCTGGACTAGTAGTGTCGCCCTGGGTTAGTGTGCACTCTTGCTGACTGGTCTTCAGACCCTTGCCTCAGAGGTTGGACTAGTAGTGCCACCCTGAGCTGCGTGTCTCTTGGTAGGCACTGCCCCTTGTCTAGCCTAGGGTGCTTGTCAACTCATATATATTTGTTCTTATAGGCTAGATAGGTGCATACTCTTACAGGGTACAACACACAAGCATAATAATACATTGTATGCCCTTGTCTAATTTCAATGTGCTATTTTGAGACTCAGCTGCTCACAAAAGCTGAAGCAGGCCACACGGAGGGAAGGCAGGGAGGGGAAGGAGGCGGGCAGGTGGGTGAACGAGTCGCAGTCGGAGATTTTCAAGCGGCCTAGCCAGGGCAGGATGTTAAAGTTATCTGGGAGGGTGGCGAATCCAGGGCCGTCTGTAATGGTGAGGCACATGATAGAAGCTAGAGCGGGGAACGTGTCAGGCAGATGGGAAAACTGTTCGCACGAGTCGATGGAGAGGCATTGGATGGAGGAGTGGGAGCCAAATGCGTCTGGTAGGGTAACCAGTCCTCGCAGCTGGTAATGGTGAGCGTGTGGAGGCGAGAGAGCAGGCAGAAGGAGGGAGGCAGGCTGGAAAACTTGGACCACATCGAGAGAGTGGCCTCTTCCAGCGAGGACAAGCTGTGAAGGGAATCCGGCAGCTCTGGGCACGACAGCCCCTCTATGCTGAGCTTCCTCAGTGCCCCAAGGCTGCCCAGCCCCTGCGGCAGCGCCTCTAAGTCACGGCACTGGCACAGCTGCAGCTCCTCCAGGTGCACCAGCCCCTCTAGCCCCTCTGGCAGCCACGTTAGTCCCTTGCACAGCATGTGCACTCGCCTCAGCGATGCGACTGCAGCTCGGGCAGCGATGGTGGGAGGCCGCCGATCAGGTGGCAACCTTTTAGCTCCAACCAATCCAGGGCTGCCAGCGGGCCTAGGTCTACTGGCAGGAAGATGAGGTTGGGGCACTGGTGCATGCTGGACTCAAAGTGAATGCGCAGGGAGCGCAGGGCGGAGAGGTGGCAGAGGGGCTGCAGGGGGGAGAGGATCTTGATGTTGGTGAGATGTAGGTTGGTGAGGGAGGTGAGGTGGGTGATGAAGGCGGGCAGGGTAACGTGGTAACTCCCCGACTTCTCGTAGTGCGTGAACTTCAACGACAGCGAGTGCAGCGACAGCGAGAGGAGGGAGAGGGAGTGTGGGAGGCAGAGGAAGGAGCCGGAAAGGGCGAGCGAGTGGAGCTTGCACAGGTGCCCCAGGGCGCGGGGCAGGTGGATGGTCTGGTTCAGGTTGCTCACGCCCAGGTGCGTCAGCGAGCGCAAGGCGCACAGGCGGCCGGCGAGATGGCCGCCCGGCGACTCATTGTTGGAGTAAGACCTGACCAGGCACATGTCCAGGTGCCGCAGGGCAGGTCTGAGGGGCGGCCTGGTCGTTACACGCGATTCCCGATCCCTCTCCAGCAGCCGCGGCTCCAGCCACGCGGCACGGTCCACCTTGACTCACACGAGAGCCGGCAGCGCGAAGAAGGCCTCTGGGAAGGGCTCGCTGCTGTCCACCGCCGTCGCCTCGAGGCGCTCGACGGGTGTGGCCCGATTGTCGACTATTCGGAAGTAGTTGAGGATGAGGTGGCACAGGGCAGTGGCCCATGGTAAAGTGACTGGCAGCGCCTCCTGCTCCCAGCTACACGCCAGGTACAGGCGCGTGAGCAACTCCACGCATGCGGGAGGGAGCATGTGGATGTTGTCACATGCGACCAGCGTTACGTCCTCCAGTGTCGTCCACTCCTCGCACACCTCTGGTAAGTCTCCCCTGAAATGTCGCAGCTCCAGCCGCCGCATCTGCTGTAGCGCGCCGATGTTGTCTGGGAGGGCCCGCATCTCTGTGCACTTTGAGAGCGAGAGATGCGCCAGGGACCGTAGCTGCTCGAACGCTTCAGGCAGCTCCTCCAGCAACGGGCAGCTCAAATGCAGCTCCTGCAGCGCTGCCAGCTTGCACATCCTGTCGGGCAGTGCGCGGAGAAACTCTGAGTGCAGGCGCAGCACGCGGAGCGCCAAGAACACAGCGATGGAGGGGGGGAGCTTCTGTGTCTGGTCCAGGCAGTGCGCCCGCGACAGCTCCTCCAGGCGCGGCGCCACGGCGCGGAAGAAGCGGTCGAGCGCGCGCTGCCCGACACGGAAGAACGGCTCCGTGAAGCGCAGCTCACAGAGCACCAAGCGGGTGAGGCGCGGGCAGGCGGCAGCGAGCGCGGCGAGGAAGGCGTCGTCGACGAAGTCGAACGCGTTCTCCACGAGGGCGAGAGAGGCGGCGCAGGGGATGAGCACCAGCGTCCCACTAAAGAGGGTCCCAAAAGTTCCCCACCATTGTTGGTTACCAGGGTCCCAAAAGTTCCCCACCATTGTTGGTTACCTCACACCTTCGCCCAACACTCACGCTCAATCCCCCCTCCAGGTCACTGCCAACATGAACACGTCCACGCAGAGTTCCCCCATGGACAGTACGTGTGCGGGCTGGGCATGACTCAGTCGGTGCCGATTGGCCGAGTTGGGGCGAAAATTTGTGAAGCGGGGAAATCCAACTCGCCCGAATTCGCAGCCAACCAGATACTTATAATGGTGGAAACTGGTGATTGGCGGAAACACCGAGCTCGTCCGTGATTCGCTAAGTGTCGCTCAGGGAGATTCTCGCCGCTGATTGGCGAGAAGTTTCCAGGGCAAGGGCTTTTGGTACTGGAGTCAGTGCATCAAACACGTTACTGTAGCCTTGCAACATCTATATATTTGTCACTAATGATTACCTAAACCTAGCACGTGAGCAATTAAAATACTGGCTATAGCTGATTTGCTCTACATTGGCTCCATAACTATTTGTTTAATTTAAAATTTCTACCATGATCGGGCTTTTGGTGATAATATATATATTAAAACATGACATTGTTTAAGCACATGTCTAGTCTAGGGCTATGCCTGAACTGTATAACCAACCGTCCGATTACTTGGACTCATAAAGTTCCCGAAAACACGTTTTGTATCGAAGCGATAGGTCAGTGCTGATGCGTACACCTGGGCCACTTTCTAGTGATACGACAAGCACAAGTTTCAGCTTCGTATAAGATTTCCGTCGCTGGGAGTGACTGGCTTCGACGTAACAACTTGTCAGCCAACCATCCCCGCTCAGCACATACACTGAGGGAAAAAACCGTCCGGATGTTTGGCACTAAGTTGGGTTTTTAGGCTTTGAGACTACTGTATGGTAAACCTGCAAGATGCACGGTGGTACACGTTGGGAGAGGCACAAAGTGGATGCGTTCACTGCACTGAGAACTAGATTAGTACATTGGATCTAACTCATACTCCAAAAGATATACAACGAGTACATCCGGACAGTTTTTTCCCAGGACAAAGAGCAAACTTCCGAACAACGTTTCTAGTACCTAGTCCACCTACTCTTGGCGTTGATCACCATCCACACCCTCCTAGGCATGTTATCTATGTGGTTAGTGCAGACCTTTGCATGAAGCTTCTCGCACTCTTCCTTGACCCACCATTTTGCATAAGGGGGTGAGCACAAGGAAAATTGCGAAGTATTTGAGCGTATGCATAAGTATTGTGCACGAATTCAGATTGAATGTAATCTCTGAGACTAGCCAAGCCGAAGGGTGTCCAAAGATGCCATTAGTTGAATGGTCTTGGCTTATCATGGGTTGTTTTCGTCGAATCAGAGTAAGGTGAAATCACGTATAGAGTGGCAAAATCTAGCATACCCGCCACGAAACTTAGGGTAACAGAGCACGGTCGATTGAGCATCCTTTCATTGTTAGAATCATGTTAAAATCCGCGAGTCTAGTGACAGTGCATCAGTTGAAGAAGTCTCGACTGTTTGGGAAGAATATCAGGGTTGAGGTCTGGTGAGGAAGAGGGGCACTCCAGAGCTACATATCCATGCTCTCCGAGCCATTCCAAGCCTAGGTAGGGAAAATGACATGGAATGCCTTGGAGAGCATAAGTATGTTGCGCTGGAGTGACCCTTTTTCTCACCAGACCTCAATCCAGATATTCTTCCCAAACATTCGAGGTTTCTTCGACTGCTGCCCCGTCACTAGACCCGCGTATTTTAACATGGTTCACACAGTGAAAGGATGTTCAGTCGACCGTGCTCTGTTACCCTAAGATTCGTGGCGGGAATGCTAGATTTTGCCACTCTATTCGTGATTTTACCCTAGAACGATACGACGAAGACGACCCATGATAAGCCGGGACCATTTAACTAATGGCATCTTTGGACACCCCTCGGCTTGGCTAGTCTCAGAGATTACATTCAATCTGAATTCGTGCACAATACTTATGCATACGCTCAAATACTTCGCAATTTTCCTTGTGCTCACCCCCTTATGCAAAATGGTGGGTCAAGGAAGAGTGCGAGAAGCTTCATGCAAAGGTCTGCACTAACCACATAGATAACATGCCTAGGAGGGTGTGGATGGTGATCAACGCCAAGAGTAGGTGGACTAGGTACTAGAAACGTTGTTCGGAAGTTTGCTCTTTGTCCTGGGAAAAAACTGTCCGGATGTACTCGTTGTATATCTTTTGGAGTATGAGTTAGATCCAATGTACTAATCTAGTTCTCAGTGCAGTGAACGCATCCACTTTGTGCCTCTCCCAATATGTACCACTGTGCATCTTGCAGGTTTACCATACAGTAGTCTCAAAGCCTAAAAACCCAACTTAGTGCCAAACATCCGGACGGTTTTTTCCCTCAGTGTATCGCGCAGCTGTCGCATCTTGATGTGAAGGTACGTTTGTCGTGCTGTAACCGGCCGACCGGCCAACCTAATACGCCCTGACAATGTCGTGTGTTTAGGGTACACTTTGATCCATGGGGTTGCCGAGCGCAATGGCGCCAGTGCCACTAATGTTCTATAGTAAGCTGCCGTTTGTTGTGTCTCGGTGTTGTTGCCATTGCCATGCCCTAGACGTGTGCTAGAAAATCCCACTTGTGCTGCCCACGTGCCCACAGATGGTTCCGCAGCGCAGTTGGCCGACAAGTGGGGCTTGCGCGTCAATGCGCTCCTCGGCATGGCCAGTCGACGCCTCTGCCGTTGCTAGCTACACTCCTCCTTCGTCTCCGGCCTTTCCACAACCCAGACAATGGGGTGAGTAAATTTTGGACGAGTCAGAGTGTCGTTTGAGGGGCTATGCTGGCAAGAAATGCCCTTATGTGCAGGTTGTGCGGCAGCTGGAGTATCCGTAGCGGTTTGCTGGTCCCTTGTGCGTGTGGAGCTGGAAAGTCGTCCTGTACAACCTGGAAGAGTATACCGACCCCACAATCCATGTGTCAAAGACACAACCCAAGCATGCCGACTACCAGCGGCTGGTGTCGTCCATTTGGCGGCACGCCGTGGTGCATGCACATCGTGTTGCTTGCTGTCGACTCAGGGTGCAAGGCGTGTTGGACACCCTTATCGACATCACTGCAGATCTGCCCGAGGAAGGCATGGAAAGTGGTGTTGATGACTTTGATGAGGGGCTCACTGGCGTCTCTACTGACATGGGAGATAACAACACTCCCCGATTGTCGACTACTCAACGGCAACAACGTTTGAAAGCAAATGTTACTCGGTTGGCTAAGGAGATAGTTCGCTTGAAGGCGAGGTGCATCGACTTGAGATACAGGGACAGGGACACCCTCCTAGTTTTCACGATACCTACCAATGCATTGGCCACCTTATCTACATGTTTTGTGGTCGAGGGTCAGGGTATAGCCTGTCGGCTTAGATGGTGTCCATTTGGAGAATGCTCTTGGTGTTTGCCTTTGCCGCCGTTATCTACATGCTTTGTAAGGATCATCGCTACAGATCTGCCCGATCGGCATTTTAATACGCAGTCATTTGAAGATATAGCACTACAGGCCAATCCACATGAAGCAAAAGAACCATCCCAAAGTCGGCAAGGACTATGCAATCTTCAGAACCCCACCTACCCCCTCTTTGACCGTGTCATCATCAAATCCCATGTTGTCAGAAACAATGTCTTCCCCCACGTATTGTTGACAAACCCTTGTGCCACCAGGTGCCACGCGATGGTCAGTTGCTCCTTGTTCCCCCTGCTCAACCCCGCCAAGCCCGTCTTCCCTGACTTTTCAGTCTCTAAGATGGGGCTCTCCAACTTCCTCTCTAGCACTTGCGAACCGTCATAGAAGATCGCCGACTTGCACACCACCCTGATGCTGTCTAGCTTAGCTATCGCCACATCGGTCTCCTCCTCGGTTGTGTCCTTTCGCAGTTTAACAATTGCAGCCATCACACGCCGCATCTTCCTCATCGAGAATGCCGTCCCCTCCACCAAAGCCTTCTTGCCATCCCTCGTCACCCCATTCTGGCTGTGCATATATGAGAACCTCGGATCCCCGTCAAAAGCCTCCCTAAGCCGCCTCCCATCCCCTGGTGAAGGACTGTTCCAGTGCTGCCATGCATGCGCTAAGGTCACACTACTACGCCACGGATGCACCACCGCTATCTCGTACCGCATGTCGGCATTCCTCATCGCCGCCTCCTCCTCCCGCTGCTTCTCCTCACGCTTCCTCTGCTCCACTTCAGCTGGTGTGTCAAGGACTGTCGTCGCCCTCCCTTGCCTTCCCACCGACATCTCTAGCCGCAGTGCCTTGATCTGTCTATGCAGTTCCTGAATACATCCGTCCTTCTCTCGGATCACCACCTCTTGGGTGGCGGACGTCTCCGCGACTGCCTTTAGCCTCGCCTGCGTCTCTGCCAGGTCGACGGCCATGGTTGCCACCACCTTACCCTCCCATGTCAGCAGAGCCCTGAGCCCAGTCACTTGATGCTGCATCCTCGCCAGAATCTCCTGTCGTGGGATCATCAAAATGGACCTATTAGACATAGATAGAGTTTAGCACGTAGTAGTAGGAGACATGGCATTGTGCTGATATCTATGACCACTCACCGCCTCTTGGATGGGTGTCGGGTCCATGCGTCGTGAGACGGCCTCCTCGTCATGACGCGCCACCCTGGCCGCCCAGCCTCGGAAGATGCGGTGCCAACGTTGCTGGGTGGCGCACACGTACGGGTGCCACGACCACTTGTGGAGCATGACGGCGAGGTCTTCGGCCACGATGCTGCGGCCAACCAGGATCAGGACTGCAGAAAGTGCGCCGCCGTGGTGTCGCGCTTGTCGGCAGGCGCCGCCTAGTTCCGCTCCTGCACCTGTAAAGGGGGAAGAGGAGTAGATAAGGTTGACACACGAGTTAGAAACGAGCGGCTTAAGACGAGATCGACAGATTGCCTGTAGGTCGACA